CAGGGCCTGGCAGCGCACTCGGCCTTGCAGCTGCCCGCCGGCGCCGCCCCTGTGCCCGCTGGCCCAGGCCCCACGACCTTCGAGGGAGCCCAGCACCCGTCACAACCTGTGCCGGCAGCCAGCACTCCTGGAGGCCCCACGCCTCCTGCCGAGCCCAGTGGGCCAGCGGCCTCCAGTGCGGCCTCCGCCTCAACCCCAGCCCCGACCCAGACCCCGGCCTCGGCCTCGGCCTCGGCGCCCAGCGTGGCAGGCAGCTCCTTACAGCCTCCCGGCGCCTCCACACCCCCTGCACTCGGGCCTGCGCCCCTCCTGGGCTCGTCGCCCAGCCTGCCAAACCCTCTTCTACCTCAGACGTCGTCCAGCAGCGTCATCTTCCCCAACCCGCTGGTCAGCATCGCTGCAACAGCCAATGCGCTGGACCCCCTGTCGGCGCTCATGAAGCACCGCAAAGGCAAGCCCCCCAACGTGTCGGTGTTCGAGCCCAAGGCCAGCGCCGAGGACCCCTTCTTCAAGCACAAGTGCAGGTTCTGTGCCAAGGTCTTCGGCAGCGACAGCGCACTGCAGATCCACCTGCGCTCCCACACGGGCGAGCGGCCCTTCAAGTGCAACGTCTGCGGGAACCGCTTCTCCACCAAAGGCAATCTGAAGGTGCACTTCCAGAGGCACAGGGACAAGTACCCCCACATCCAGATGAACCCCTACCCGGTGCCCGAGTACCTTGACAACGTGCCCACCTGCTCCGGCATCCCCTACGGCATGTCGCTGCCTCCGGAGAAGCCCGTGACCACCTGGCTGGACAGCAAGCCGGTGCTGCCCACTGTGCCCACGTCGGTGGGGCTGCAGCTGCCCGCCAGCACCCACGGCTACACCGACTCCCCCAGCGTCACCCCCATCAGCCGCTCCCCACAGAGGCCCTCCCCCGCATCCAGCGAGTGCACCTCCCTGTCCCCGGGCCTCAACCATGCTGAGGCTGGTGTCCCGGTGACTGCAGAGTCCCCACAGCCACTCCTCGGGGCTTCCCTGACTAAAAGCGAGCCCGGCAGCCTGCCTGGTGCCAGCACCAGGGCCGGGGACACTCCTGTCATCGGCCCCGTCAGTGTGAGCACCGTGCCCACGGCGGCTGCCAGCGCCATCACGGACAGCGTGTCCACCAGCCTCGGCAGCCCCGGGCTTCCTGCCGTCTCCGACCAGTTCAAGGCCCAGTTCCCCTTTGGTGGGCTGCTGGAGTCCATGCAGACGTCGGAGACCTCGAAGCTGCAGCAGCTGGTGGAGAACATCGACAAGAAGATGGCCGACCCCAACCAGTGTGTCATCTGCCACCGCGTGCTGAGCTGCCAGAGTGCCCTAAAGATGCACTACCGCACGCACACGGGCGAGCGGCCCTTCAAGTGCAAGATCTGTGGCCGCGCCTTCACCACCAAGGGCAACCTGAAAACGCACTTCGGGGTGCACAGGGCCAAGCCGCCCCTGCGCGTGCAGCACTCCTGCCCCATCTGCCAGAAGAAGTTCACCAACGCTGTGGTGCTGCAGCAGCACATCCGCATGCACATGGGCGGCCAGATCCCCAACACGCCGCCGCCTGACGGCCTGCAGGACGCCATGGACGCCGAGCAGGCCGCCGAGGCCCTGAGCAGCTACGAGGACGATGTGGATGAGAACTCCATGGAGGACGACGCTGAGCTGAAGGACACCGCCGGGGACGCCGCCAAGCCACTGCTGGCCTTCGCAGGGTCCTGCCCGCCCTCGCCGCCCTCGGTCATCTCCAGCATTGCTGCCCTGGAGAACCAGATGAAGATGATCGACTCGGCCGTGGGCTGCCAGCAGCTGGCAGGCCTGAAGTCCCTGGAGAACGGGTCTGGGGAGAGCGACCGCCTGAGCGACGACTCCTCATCAGCCGCGGGCGACCTGGAGAGCCGCAGCGCGGGCAGCCCCGCCCCGTCCGAGTCATCCTCGCAGGCACTGTCGCCCACCAACAGCCACGGGGACAGCTTCCGCTCCAAGTCCCCAGGCCTAGGCCACCAGGAGGAACCCCAGGAGATCCCCCTGAAGACCGAAAGGCCTGACAGCCCGCCCCCCGGCCCCGGGAACGGGGGCGCCCTGGACCTGACAGCCGGCCACCCAGGCCGGCCGGCGGGCAAGGAGGAGGCGCCGTTCAGCCTGCTGTTCCTGAGCAGAGAGCGGGGTAAGTGTGCGGGCACGGCGTGCGGTGTCTGTGGTAAGCCTTTTGCTTGCAAGAGCGCGTTGGAAATCCACCACCGCAGCCACACTCAGGAACGGCCGTTCGTCTGCGGCATCTGCGGGCGCGGGTGTTCCACTCTGGGTAATTTAAAGCAGCACTTACTGACCCACAGGTTGCGGGAGCTGCCTGCTCAGTGCTTTGACCCCAACTCTGCTCTAGGTCCCAGCCACGGCCCTCCTCCCCTGGTGCTTGCAAGAGCGCGTTGGAAATCCACCACCGCAGCCACACTCAGGAACGGCCGTTCGTCTGCGGCATCTGCGGGCGCGGGTGTTCCACTCTGGGTAATTTAAAGCAGCACTTACTGACCCACAGGTTGCGGGAGCTGCCTGCTCAGTGCTTTGACCCCAACTCTGCTCTAGGTCCCAGCCACGGCCCTCCTCCCCTGGGCACCAGCGCCGCATCCAGGTCCCAGCCGGGCCTCAGTCTGTGATGAGCCCGGGCCTTGGGCCCATGCTGGCCCCACCGCCACGTCGGACACCCAAGCAACACAACTGCCAGTCATGCGGCAAGACCTTCTCCTCGGCCAGCGCCCTGCAGATCCACGAGCGCACCCACACCGGGGAGAAGCCGTTTGGCTGCACCATCTGCGGCAGGGCCTTCACCACCAAGGGCAACCTGAAGGTGAGGCGGCGCCCCGGCTGGACGGCCTCTACCACACCGTCCTGGCCGAGGTTGGACGTGTGGGTGTGCTCATTCACACGTGTGTGCTGTGGTGCAGGCGTGTGGCGGGTATGTGGCGCATGAATGGGGGTTAGTGCAGAATGCGTGTGGTGCATGTGTGTACACGTGCAGTGTATTTGCACATGTGGGGCATATACATGTCCTGTGGAGTGTCTAACGTGTGTGCGCATTTGTATGCACACGGCTGCACGCATGCGCACATACTTCCGAGGCACGCCCCACCAAGACAGCCTAGCACAGCCTAACACAATGAGTCTGAGGGCGAGCCGGTGCCGGCCAGGGGCCCACCAGCCGAGCCTCCCACAAGCAGGTCGGCCTAGTCCAGTCTGCAGCAGGACGGGCAGGCCTGGGACCCACACCCTGATGCCTCTGACACAGAGTGACCTCGGCCTTTCAACCCTCTCTGGAAAACAGGACCAAGGGAGGCTGGCTCTGGGCGGCTGCAGGGGCCATGGAGGGTTTTAGAGAGACGCCCTCAGCTCTCGAAGGTCAGAGAGCAGCTCTGGCCCGTGGCCATGCTGGGGATGACAGCGGCCCTGGACGATTTCCTCTGGGGACATGTAGCCTGATGTGGGGCCGGGAACGCCCTGCCATGCTGGCGTCCCTCTGTGGAGTGTGTCGGCAGACACGGCCAACCTGGGTCCTCTCCTGAGGCTGTCAGGAGGTCAAGCTGTGTCTTCGAGGCCAGAGGCACCCCAGGACAGGCAGCCTGAGGACTCCCGGGGCTAGACAGCCCGGGGTGTCCTAGAGTAACATTGCCTCCTCGTCTGGGATTGCAAGCCCAGGAGGGTGCTGTGAACAAGGCCAAGTGTAAGATGATTCGGGTGATAGGTGGAGGCTCCAGGGCAGCAGGGCCTGGGGGACCTGCTGAGATCTTTGTCCTCAGCTAAGGACATCCTTGGTCTGTCAGGCATGTCATCTGGGAGGACACAGGCCAGCATGCGTGCGCTGTTCTGGGCCACACTGACCTCGGTGGCGGGCACTCGGGCACTGAGGTAGGCTTCAGCAGCCACGCATGGCTGGACCCGCTTACCTGTGCGCTGTCTCCGTGTCCCCACAGGTGCACATGGGCACGCACATGTGGAACAATGCCCCTGCAAGGCGCGGCCGCCGCCTCTCAGTGGAGAACCCCATGGCTCTGCTGGGCGGCGACGCTTTGAAGTTCTCGGAGATGTTCCAGAAGGACCTGGCCGCGCGGGCCATGAGCGTGGACCCCAGTTTTTGGAACCAGTATGCTGCGGCCATCACCAACGGCCTGGCCATGAAGAACAACGAGATCTCGGTCATCCAGAACGGGGGCGTCCCCCAGCTCCCTGTCAGCCTGGGCAGCTGCGCCATGCCCCCTGTGGGCGCCGTCACCGGCGTGGGGGACAAGGCACGTGGCGGCACTAGCCCTCCCATCACGGGGCTGGACAAGGCGAGCTCGGACGCAGGAGCCGGCCGCGCCTTCACAAGGTTCGTCGAGGATAACAAGGAGATCGGCATCAACTAGCCGAGGGCGGGCTCAGCTGCCGCCCCACTTCGCTCCCCGAGGTCTGGGCCACGGGCCTGGGCTCTTGGTGAAACTCACAAACGTGTCCCAGCAGGAAATGCCACCCCAAGTGTGGCATAGGGTGGCCGGCTCCCGGGAGCCCGGCAGTTCCCTTGGCAGTGAGTCTGGCTGCTCTCGAGGGCGCTCTAGCCTGTCAAGGAACTCTCAGTCCGAAAAAGAAGTGCTTGGAGAGCCGCCCAGGGCGGCGTGCTCAGGCCGGCCACTCAGCTCCTCCTCCGACCTAATCCCTGTGCGGGAAGGAGTCCCGTGCAGGCTTCCAGGGAAACTCATTGGATGGCTTTGTTCGCCTTAGAAACTGGAACCATTTTTAGACTTCTTCATCTCGAAGCAGTGGTTAGTGCTCCCGGCCTGCACGACAGCAGGGTCTCCGCCCGCAGTATTTATAGCATTGAGGTGATGCGGGTACCGGCGACATAGCAGCCCCAACCTTAAATGAAGCTTTTGTGCTGCAGAAGACACCTGGCCGTGTGGTTTTCTTTTTATTTTTTTCAGCAAGATTTGTTTTATTATAAATAAGCGGATGATTTCAATTCAGGTGAAATGGTGAAGTTACCTGGGAAGACAGCATGCTTTCTGAGTGCCAGTACCCGTCAGTCACGACCTGCCTTTTGTCCTTTCATTTCAACGTGCGCAGCTGCTGTCTGTGTGGTCTGTGGCCAGGCCTGGGGGGGTCGCAGACGGACATCACTGACTCACGGTACTGTCAGCAGCTGTGAGTAAACGCTTCACGTTATCAAACTGTACAATAAAAAGGTAATGTTTGTATAATGTGGTTGCAACCTCTTAATTTATAACTATTGCACTTTTAGTATTTTGTATTAGGGAGGTTTGTCTATAATTTGAAAATTTAAGATGTAAAGGATTTTATAAATAGTACTTCAGTTTAAGGAAAAGGAAAAAGAAACCTTACCATTTCTTGTTTTGTCTTAAGGTCCAACAGCGTAAGAAATCTGTACTACTTAAGCAGAAAGCCACCCCATCAGCGCTTCGATAAAACAGGGCCCCCCATTTCTTAAAATGATGTATTTAACTTTTCTACAAAGCCCATTTGAAAACTCCCACGGCATGGAGCTGACGAGCGAGTCTGAGGGCGAGCCGGTGCCGGCCAGGGGGAGCCGAGCGCATCAGCCGAGCCTCCCACAAGCAGGTCGGCCTCGGTGCTGTGTGACGCACAAGCCGGACCGGGCCCCTGCGGCGTCTGGCAGCGTGACCCGTCACGGCTGGAAGGTGTCCAACTCCCTGACGTATTTATTACCTTCTCATGGGAACAGAAGGCGCGGTATCCTCCGAGCGTCCCGAGCACAGGCTGTGCGGGTGGCTCTGTCCAGGTCGCAAGGGGCGGAGGTGCTGGGCAGCGGGACGGGCAGCGTCCCATGTACTACCTCATCGTGTGCGTTCGAGCGTACCGGGACCCGACACGACCAGGTCCCAGCAGCAGAACCGTTCAGGAGGCTGGGTGACACGCCAGGAGTCATTGCCCCTGAAGACACTGGCCAGCGGAGACAGGAAGGCAGGACGGACAGTCGCTCTCCAACACAGCACAGCACGGAAGTCCCTGAGAGGACGGTGTTCCCACCGCACGTCACTGAGCAAGACCTGGAAGGCCGTGAGCTGCTCGTCCCTGCGGAGGTGGGCGCCCTGGGTGGTGCCCCGCTTGCACCGAGTGACAAGCGCCCGCGTGCTGGGCGAGGCTAACCGAGGTTGCGTGTCGCTGTCTTCTGGCACCAAGCTTCCGTTGTATTTATCTGTGTCCTGGTGTGTTTCTGGTCGTTTTCGGTTTTTATTGTGCGCTCTTTTGGCTAGTGTCTGGCAGCACAGCGAGTCCTCGTCCCCAGAGGACGTGTATATAGCTCCGGAAAGCGGCGTGCCTGTGTGTAAATAAGATGGCTCTGAAGGGCGGGGCCCGACCCGCTCCGCTCGGGCCGGGGCCTCTGCGTGGTGGAGAGACCCTATTTTTATACTGCAGTACCATGTGGGGCAGGGGCTGCCCCGAGCCGGCCGGGACTGTCACCCTGATCCGATATTTTTTATTATAAGATCTTGTGGCTTGACACATCTGCTGATGGAAATGGATGTCCTAGTCTAGGGTACTATTTTGTCACATGGAATTGAATAAAATGCAGGATGTAACATGATTTCCAAATTGCGTCCCTTGATTCTTCTGATGGCGACGTGGACTGTGAGGAGCTGGTCCCTGGGGGCAGCTATGTCGCAGAGCCCCTGTGAGCAGTCGGGAGGCTTGCTCACACTCAAGTGCTATCTGAGTGTGTTTTTGTGGGCCTTGAAATTTTTATTTTTTGCTTTTTCCCAAAGTAAAAATATAGCCTCCTAGTCGTGAGTTTTCGCATCCGTGACAGGCGCAGCTGTAGCAGCCGGCGTCTCCCTGTTGAAGACTTGCGGTGTCCAAAAATAGTGGCCCCCTGTGGCCTTCCTGCCGTCCGCATTAGGCGACAGTGTCGGCTTCTAGGTCACTCGGACAGAGCTGAGCAGGGGTCAGCATAGGGAGGACACAGCCGGAGCGTGCGAGTCACGCCACAGTTGTAGCGCACAGTCTGCAGGTGCACGCCTGTGCAAATTCAGGGAGCCTCGCCCTCTCTCTGGGCGCGTCACCTCACTGGAACGTCGGGCACGACCCGACACTTTAAAGACCCTCACAGTTCCCGGACTTGGAAATACGTAGTTTATTTCTTCCTTTTTTTTCCTTTTTAAATCCTTTTGAAATTAAAAAAAAAAAATCAACACACACACATACACACTACTAATACCTAGAAGCCAAGGTAGTTTTTACGTGGGATGTGCTGGGTGATTTTCAAGGAGCGATAAAGGTACTAACCACTGTACTCACTGGCCCAGACCAACCTGGCGTCACGAGCCTGAGAAATCCCACTAGACTGATTTCAGCGCTAGAGTAGAAACTACAAAACATAAACCAACTAAATCAGCTAGTAAGTTTAATTTTTTAAAAAAGGTAGGGAGATAGGATTCTACTGCTGATTTGTAATTAATTCAAGCTAAGACGCAGGAGAGGGGTTTACTTCCTGTACCTTGAAACTGCTTCCAGTTTGGGGCTCATGTGTGGGTGTTGGGTCTGACAGTAGCACTAACCATTCAGACCATCATAAAGGACCGCAAATGCCCTGCGAATTATTTAAATACAGCCATCGATCTTAAAACCAACATAAAACTATTGCGAACAGGCAAAAGACGATGTTTTAAACCCCACATTCAGCTGCCATTCCGTGGGTGCTGCCCACACTCCCTGCGGCCACATACATCCGTGAAGCCAGGTGCTGGGCGCACTGTACTGCCGTCCACGGCTGCATGGCACTCCCAGCCCTGCCAGCTCCTAGCACAGTGCGTGTTGTCCCTGTGCATGGTCCGAACCTCTCGTTTCTCTTCTGTGTGTGCTAGGAGCGGGTGGCAGTACTGCATATGTGGGACTGTCTGGCCGTCTCCCTGTGCAAACCTGTAGCCCGTAGCCCGTGGCCCGGTCCCGTGTGTCCTCGCCCTGGGCTCGTCACCAATCCCACAGCTGAGGCAGGAGTGACGCCTGCTTATTCCCTTGGAAAGTCTCCCACATGGGGCTCCGACGAAGAAAGCAAGCCATGATTCTCTAAGCAGATCTTTCTGATTTTTAGCTATGTTTAAATTTGATCTACAAAATACTAGCAACAAAATTCACACTCCCCTTTTTCACTTAGGAGGAAATACCACATGTTGATTCTCAGCCTTTGCAATGGGAAACTTAAAGTGGCGTCAGCATTTTCTTCCTTTCTCCTCTTGGTATTTTTGCACCACATGAGGCTCAAGGCAGCCTCGGTTCCTGCCTCAGGCCCAGCCGGCATCCTCTCAGATGGGGCCGGGGACAGAAATGGCCAGGGTGACCCGTGGAAGCTGCTGTCAACGCTGTTGCTGTCCTGCCTTCACTCTGCTCCCGTCTTCTGAGGGAGTGGGACCCGTGCACACAGATCCTTCCCGTCTCTAAAATACTATGTACTTATTATTTTATTAAGATGACCACTAATGTACTCCTTTCTTCTCCCCCAAAAATTCACTGGGCGGACTACAGTATTTATATATTGAGAGAGAGTAGAAATGAAGGAGAATATTCTCATAGATAGGAAGAATCTATGACAGATAACTACTGACAAAACGAATCATTTGGGGGTCATGAAAAATGTGTTTGTATCTTTGCTTTTACAAAAAAACATTGAACTTAATGATGCTTTTAAAAATGCACTCTATTTAAGGTAAAATAAAATGAAGTTCTGTGAACATTTATGCTTACTGCATTTTCCTCTTAGAAAAGAGACTTAACAAGTGGTTTGATTTTTCCATGTGTATTGCAGGTACACAGCCCCTTGTAAAAATAATACCTACATATATTTATATATATATTTATATATATATATATTCAGGAGTGTGCTGTTTAAAGCAATGGGTATTCCTAGTTGTCCTTTAGGAAAACGTCAGAGCCTGAACTGTGAGCGCTGGCGTCGCTGTCCTGAGTCCTAAGTGTCTGCATTTTGGTCTGACTTTGTAAGTAGCACGGATTGTAACGTGGACAGTCGCCTCCAGCTCGCCCGCCCATGAGTGATGTGACGTGACAGTCGCCTCCGGCTCGCCCGCCCATGAGTGATGTGGCGTGGCCCTGAGCTCAGAGGGTCTCGCAGAGAGTCGAAGTCGGTGCGGTGCCGCCACCGTCGGGGCACGCTTGTCGGCCGTGTCCTGCTCCCTGACACCGCTAAGTGGAGAGCAGGTGGCTGCTGGGGTGCCCATGAAGTGTCGGCATGGCCGCCCACTGCGCGTGACAGACATGGCCAGGAATCTGACCACAGTAGTCCCAACGGCGATGACTTGTGAACGTGGGAGTCTGTGAACCCTTCTCTCCATACTTTCGAAGTTCGTATGATGCACATATTTTGAAATTACAGAATGATTTGTAAACTGAATTTCTGCTGAGCGGTGTGTTATTTCCTGCATCCTATCCTTGGTATTCCCAGTCCCTACTAATTCGTGCTATTGTGTCCTTGCTGGATTAAATTAAAGGATAACTGAATCTTAATTCTATTAAATAATAACTGTTGCAAGCAGAGATAAAAATAACTAAAGTCGAAGTCAGCACACTCTTGCAGCTGGCCGGTCTCTGGCTTAGTATGGACAGAAAACGAGGGGTCTGTCTGCTTTATTAGAGACAGTTCAGGGGCCGCTCTGGGCCTGGCCTGCTCCGGCAGGTACACCCCACCCCGCCGTGGCTGGTGAGAGGTACTCACTCCCCCTCCAGGGGGGCGCTCAGGGGGGCGCTCAGGGACACGTGGAGGTGCACTAAAGGCTTCCCCTCACACCACCTTCATGGTGAGAGTCCACTCCACCTTGTGTTGGTTTTCTTGATGGTTTCAGTAACAGCCTCATGTTGCCAGCAAGCACAGCTGGCGACGGATCAGACCGCCCCTCGAGGCGTTGTGACACCTGCTGGGAACCCTCGCGAAACAGCCTGGTTACCAGACATTTGGGTCTGAGACTTTAAAAACCTGGTCTGATAACTCAGAAGAGGTAGGTACAATCCTGGCATTTCCCTCCTTCCTTTCCTTCTTCATGAGTTGGGGAGAGCTGTGGGAAGGCCAGTCCCTGCAAGGCCCTGCCCCACACCGTAGCCTATCCCCCGTGGGGGTCACCTTGAGGAGGAGCACGGCCACGAACTTGCCGTCAGACTAGCGGTCATGTCCAACGGCTTGAGGACCCTCCGCCCAAGCAGACCTTGTCTCCTCGCAGCGCTAGGAACAGCCTGGCCGGTGTCGGTCCCCCTCTCGCCTGCTCCGTTCCTGTCTGCGGTGGGACCTGCTCGCTCTCGTTTGTGTTTGCGATTCACCACAATTCACCACATGGTGGGTCTTCCTATGCTGTCACCCTGATCCTGTCACCCTTGCGATGTCTGGCTGAAAATGACGGTACTAGTGTGGTTTCCGAGGAGGGGCCTGGGCCTGACCTAAACCCAGCGGCCTCCCTTGAACCGGGTCCCAGAGGCTTGGCCCCGGGGTCCTTCAGACACGAAGCTGGCCGGCCCATGCCCACGGTTTCTCCGAGCAGGACGCAACTATGTTGGTGTCTCGGTGTCCCTCGGCCGCTGGCTCGAGGAGGCCTTGGCCATCCCCAGAGGCCCTCTGCATGTCCACAGGTCTCAGGCGGCCAGCTTAGGTAAACCGTGGGGTGGGGGGCAGACATGCCGCCCGCCAAGAGCTCAATGCCGGTCACCCCAGCATGGTGCTGGCCTGTTACAGCCCAGCCGCCCGCAGGGTGCGAATAATATTTGTAATCACGGGAAAACGATCACCGGAATAAACCTCGTCTCCAGCAACAAGCTGCAGATGCCGTTAGTCAGGCTCCCCCCAAGTGCCATGGCTGCCCTGGGCTCTCTCTCCCTTTTTGTTTTTTTGTTTTAAAGATTTTTTTTTTTGAAGAGGTTTTTGCTATAGGGCATGTGCACTCTCCAGAGAGCCAGAAGGCAAGAAATCACCCCCCTGGGGGATGGCCATGCCGCATTCCCTTCTCCATTCTCTCAGGATCTTGGGCACGCACACACACGCGCCCGGTGTGAGTTTAAGCCAGTTGACTACAGGGGAGCCCAGTGGCATAGCCATTACGCCAACTGCTAGTCACTTAAAGAATTATTTTATTAAACTTATTTAATTTGACCAGAGAGGAACAGAGAGAGAGGAAAAGAGAAAGCAGGCTGCCAGCTCCAGGACTCAAACCATGGTCAGCCATGTGGGAGTCCAGCACCCTTAACCACCACACCATCTGCTGGCCTGGAATCTCATGTCTTAAACCACTGTCTTTGTCTTGCGATTGTTGGTAAGAATGAACTTAAACGGTGTTAACGTAGATTTTAGTATTTAATAGAAATGTCTACTTTATTCAGGCACCGTAAGTACCTCTAAAAAATTCATTTTCTTTTCTTTAAAAATTTTTTTAATTGCAAAGAGGTGTATGCACTCACCAGAGGGAGAGAGAAAGAGGGAGCAGACTAGTGAGCACCCCACAATCCCTTCCCCAGTCTCCACACCACCAGGATTTGGGCAAGCCTGCCCATGCACCTGGCACGCTCCTCAGGCCACCAGGGCTGGGACTTGAACCGTGTCCACCCAGGTGGACCCAGCTCCTGGTGTATGGTGCTTAGCCACTGTGCGGTGGGGCCCCCAGAACCAGCTTTCTAGCAAGGTGCCTTTAGTTCAGGCCG